GGGAATGTTTAGTGTCTATATATATGCCACCAAAAAATACTGATGATTGGTTACAAATAGCAAACAATTTTTACAAGCGAACAAATTTTCCTAACTGCATTGGAGCCATCGACGGCAAACATATTAGAATAAAAAAACCTGCTTCCAGTGGATCTGAATTCTTCAACTATAAGTGTTTCTTTTCAACTGTGTTGCTTGGAGTAGCAGATTCCGACTACTGTTTTACTTCAATAGAAGTTGGAGCCTATGGTTCTGCAAGTGATTCCAATATTTTCAAGAAATCAAAATTTGGCAGTTTACTTGAAAAAGGACAGTTAAATATACCAGGCCCAACACTGCTACCAAATGAGGAAACCGGAACTGTCATGCCGTTTATAATTTTAGGCGATGAAGCATTTGCTACTTCAGAACATATTCTACGTCCATATCCTAGCAAAAATTTGTCAGTTACGAAACGTGTCTTTAACTATAGGCGATCAAGAGCCCGTAGAATGGTGGAGTGCTCGTTTGGCATATTAGCTGGCAAATGGAGGATACTGAATAAGTCTTGAATTATCCGATATCATTATAAAAGCATGCTGCATTCTCCACAATTTTGTTAGGAAGCACGATGGAGTTTGTTTCGAAGATAGTTTGTACGAATGTCATTTAGATAACATGAATCCCGTTGGAACAAGAGGTACCGTTAGAGGTATTCACATTAAAGACTATTTTGCAAAATATTTCACCTCTCCTCAGGGAACTGTTCATTGGCAATATGACAAAATTTAAATAAAAATGCCAATACAATATACAGGCTGATTCAAAAGTATTTGGCTAAAATGAAACCCCATGTGGAATAACCAATTTTAAGTCGAAATGAAAGAAAGCAACTGGTAGCAACTGACCGAATAATCGCCAGTGCGCGCGTACAGGTTAAAACGTGTACGTTGCATTATTCCCGGCAACAGTTGAGTCGCCTTGAAAATAGGGCAAGATGTAATTTTTTAGTTGCCGTGATTAAAGAGTTGCTAGTGCGCGCCGCTTCATATAACTCAGTGTATTTCATTTTAGTGATTTTTAAGTTGCCGCAACTAAATCGCTAGTGCGCGCCTGGCCTTATAAGGATTTTTTTCCCAAACCTCTAGGCCTTACCGTTATTGAGATACAGCCGCTCCGTCCGCTTAACGGGACACCCTGTATAGTTCGGAATTAATAATCTATTTGTATAAAGGTTTGAGAAACAATGAGAATTTGAATGTTGGGATATATAGTGAACATATATGCATATTAGCCAATTTAGCTTTGATAGGAATAAAGACTTTGGCGGTTTACGTCAAGGGATAACCGTAGAATCGTGTTCGTGGTGGCCGGGCAAACACATAACTAGGGAAAGACAAACAGTGGGTATTTAGGCTTGCATATATGATATAACGAGAGTAGGGGTGCCGGTCGAGAACGTCGTAGTATTTGTCGGAACGAATCCGCGAAGTTATGTTAATCCGGAACGCAATCATCCCCGCGGTGCGATTACAAACGCATTAGTTTCGCGCCTGAAAGTACCAACAGCAAGTGAAAAAAGTGTAATGACGGTCCCGATTAAAATTCAATTACGGTCTAGGAAAATAATAATAACGGCAAAAGTGACCGGCTAATTAAACCGTCGGGGATTTAAGAGAAATTCGACAACTAATTTAATTAAGCGTTTTTTTTTGTATTATTATATCGAGAAGGCCGCGTGGGCTAATCATTAAAAAAAATCTTCGCGCGAAGTTCGTTAGCCTTGCCAGTTATTGTGGCTCCGTAATTAAACCACTCCGGGGAAAAACAAAAAACGAAACCGTACCGATTGTATTTTATTTTTTCTTGACGGCGGCCAGGATCGGGCGCGTTTGATACAGTTGTCAAAAGTGTCACTCCGCTTCGGTACAAAAACGTGATCTTTGTTGACATTCCGCCGTCGCCTTATCTGCTTTGCGCTCCAATGGGTCACATCTTTCATTAATCCATTTTCACTGGAAACGTCCATACGCAATCGAGTGGGAAACCGAGTCGCGTTACCGGAAATTCCACTAAATCTCGTTTGTTGCGTTCCTTTTTTTGCCGAGGATTTTGTGGAACCGCTGGAATGAGGCTTTATTAGGAAGGAATCTGCATCGCGCAGCGTTATAAATCCCGGCAAATTCCAAATAAATTACAAAAACTAAGTCGGTAATCAGCGCTCCTAATTTCACACAGTTTAACAAATCCCGAAACTATGTTCATAAACTATTTATAACCATTGATACAGACCACAAATAATGCTACAGCACAATAGCCAGTTAAGAAGTTAACCGAGGGATTAAGTAGAAACACCACAAGCAAGATATATAAAACATTAATTAGACCAATCATAACATAACTATTGGATTCAATGCGGTTTACATACAGAAGTAGAAGTAATCAATTAAAAAAACACGCAAGAATATGAACTCACAATAAAAAAACTTAATAAAAGAAGTACAGTATCTGCACGTTAACTACGGGCAATTATATAATCACCATGATATATATAAAAGCTATAACGGCACAGAACAGAAAAACGTATTGTAACAAAGAATAATTCGTGACCAATTGTAGATATGGTATGAAGAATGGTACTCAGATGAATAACCTACCACTAACACATTCGGATGAATAACTTCGTCGAAAGGGCTTTTACGAAACGGTTCAAATTTCACGACATACATTCCTCATCTTACATACGTAAAATACGACCTCACACCATACACCTTGTACATTCTAATAATTTACATCAACTTCAAATCATTTCAATATATCATATTTTTATTTTGATTCAACACCTGTTGAAGTTTTCTAAATAACACTTTCGCCTACATATATAAATTTAATAAAACATAATTTGGTAAACATATATAGCTGGAATAAACATAGAAAACTATTTTAAGTAGATAATAAATAACAGGAATAGATAAATAAATATATCAATAGATAAACATATCGAGATGATAAGAAATACCCAGAAGAGTCTTAAAAGCAAATAAACTCCTAAGACCTGTTTATTTATCTGTTATTGACATTGCACAATTGGAGGGTAATATTATTAATAAATTTGCAACTGGTTCAAAAATTACATATTATGAAAACAACTAAATAAAAGGATGAGAAATAATCTTGCAAATAAATACCTTATTAAGTAACTCTAAATATAAGTTAGAAATATAAATAAACATTATAAAATATTTATTTTGCAGAATATCCAATATTTATTCAATGTTATCAAGTGAATTTCGGAACATTCAAAATATCTAACCTGCCTTAGAGCAGTTTTTTATATATGTATACGAAAATATGAAAATTTGCATGAAACCAAGTCTACCTAAAAAACAATCCCGGCTAACGTCTTTGAAGTCGGCCAAGATTATTTCTGCCATAAAGTTGTTAATGGCATCACTCGTGATTCAGAGCGTGAAACCAAGTCTACCCTGCTTGAAATTTATGGAAGAAATAATCTCGGCCGACTTCGAAGACGTCGGCCGCCCTAAGTATTGTTCATGATACTTGGGGCGGCCGACGTCTTCGAAGTCGGCCGAGATTATTTCTGCCATAAAGTTGTTAATGGTATCACTCTGGAATTTGGAGAGTGAAACCAAGTCTGCCCTGCTATGTTTATGGAAGAAATAACCTCGGCCGACTTCGAAGACGTCGGCCGCCCTAAGGATTATTCATAATCCCTTAGTTGTTAATGGCATCGTAAAACAAAATCTACCCTGCTATGTTTATGGAAGAAATAATGTCGGCCGATTTCGAAGACATCGGCCGCCCTAAGTATTGTTCATGATACTTGGGGCGGCCGACGTCTTCGAAGTCGGCCGAGATTATTTCTGCCATAAAGTTGTTAATGGTGTCACTCTGGAATTTGGAGAGTGAAACCAAGTCTGCCCTGCTATGTTTATGGAAGAAATAACCTCGGCCGACTTCGAAGACGTCGGCCGCCCTAAGTATTGTTCATGATACTTGGGTTGTTAATGGCATCGTAAAACAAAATCTACCCTGCTATGTTTATGGAAGAAATAACCTCGGCCGACTTCGAAGACGTCGGCCGCCCTAAGTATTATTCATAATCCCTAAGTTGTTAATGGCATCGTAAAACAAAATCTACCCTGCTATGTTTATGGAAGAAATAATGTCGGCCGATTTCGAAGACATCGGCCGCCCTAAGTATTGTTCATGATACTTGGAGCGGCCGACATCTTCGAAGTCGGCCGAGATTATTTTTTATATCTACGAAGCAAACAAAGGTAAGAAATTAAGATTCTGATATAACTCATGTAAAACGATCACAATCATTCACTTTTGCTCTAAGAAGCATATTATTTTTGCTTTTAAATACATTTACTAAAATTTTAGTTCAAACAAAACCTACAATAATAAAACACTTCTGAACATAGCTGAACATAACGCCATCTATGAGCAGCAAGCGATAATATTTTTTAATAAAACGATAAATTGTGAGTGGTAAATTTAATTCGAAATGAGAATAGTGGAATAAACCTTGTTAGTGTGGAGTACATGAAAAAGTAATTTGGGTTTTGTACTCATTAAAAATCAATTCAAAAAACTTTTAGAATAACGTTTTTTGATGATTTTTGCAAATCGAATTACAATTAATAATTAACTGTAAGGCGAGATAATGCGTAGAAGTCAAAGGGTTTCGAAATGAAAAGAAGTGGCGTTGTTCTACAAGATGTAAAACACCTGTAAACATATTTACACGGGCGGCGGTGAGAATTCTTAACATTTCGAGCGGGGAGCCGCGCCGAGAGATAATTATAAGGTGCATGTGGCAAAGTGTACGGAGCGCACCTTCGCCGTTCTTCCCCCTTTTCGCCCGTCTCAGAACCGGCCGAAAAGAAGAAGCAAAACGTCCTCGAGCGGCCACATCAAATGCGGAGGAGACGGAACGCTAAACGCCTGTGGAAGACAAGAAAAAAATAAACGCTAAGAAAACGGGGTCATACCTCGCTCGATTCTTCTCATACAGGTAACAACCCACGAAGCACATTTGAAATCACAAGTGGTTAAAAAGCACTAATTCTTACAATAATAATTGTTTACAAAGTGATTCAAAAATTCGTGTCTTGTATTCTTAACTTTCTCGGTTAAGTGTCCTTCTGGTGTCCTTTTGCACCCGAGGCTGGTCTGGCATTTGCTGGTGATTGCCACTGCAGAAGAGGTTTACGTACAAAACACACGAAAGTCTTGCCTTTTTTTTCGGATGACTACGGAATGGATTTGGCCGGTAATCGAACAATATCTTTTTAGGAATGTTGTTTCTCAAGTCTTTGTCCTTTTGGACACTGAAACGTATCAGTTTTTAGTCACGTTTCAGTCACTGATTACACTTTACCATAATAATACTAGCAATAATAATAAAAGTCATGTCTCTTTACAACAGTATACAGTTGCCTGCCTAGCATCACAAAACCAAACTGACTACATTCTAAGAAAATTAAGAGAAGGGACCGAACAATCTCGGACGAACACGACTCCAACACGATCTGATCCCCGCCAAATTTAAACCTCACCAATCCAACAACAACAACGGGGTGTTATTATTATTGTTACTTTATCCCTAATTACCGGGTTATTAAATATATTCCAAAGAGTGTCAGGAACTTTCTCTAATCTACTATTACCCCTAACAACTTGATACATTACGATAATTGCTGCTTCATATTCATACATGGAAATATAACACAAGAATAAATTATTATAATTAATCTTTTATAACGTTTTGCATATCATTAATTTCCCGATGCTAGTTAATCGATGGAAATTAATCAAAAATAATACGACACACTTTTTTAAAAACGAACACTTTTTATGTTATCACCTTTCAATCATAGATGGAAGCATGTGACTATAGTGGTATTATTATATACAGTGTGTATAATTTTAGTTTACTTTCGAAGTCGGTCGAGATTATTTCTTCCATAAAGTTGTTTGTTAATGATATCACTCGGCATTCTAAGCTTGAAATTTATGGATGATAAAATCAAACACGCTGTATAAATGAAGGAGTATTCACAAAGTATATATAATTGCCTACAAAAATGAGTTAAAAAAGTAAGACTCAGCCCAGGATATGGACAGTACCGGTAATTATTTTAAACGACCTCACTCATCATGCGATCCAATTCTACGAATTCCTTTCAGAGCACTAAAACGACAGCGACAATTTGATTTGCCGCATCTTTTTGGGGAAAACGCCAAATTCCCTTTGATATTTCTCCCATTGTTGCTTCAACAACTACAACTACAAATCAAATTATAATTTTTTTAATATCTTTAACCTCTTTTCTTGTTGTAGGGGTGGTAAGTGCGACATCTATACTTTAAAAGTTGTAATACTCTCAATTAAGAATGACGTTTAGAACAGGAAACGACAAATTTTGGTCAATTATGCATAAAGTTGAGCGAGTGAGGTTACGATGGCCTCAAAATCGTTATTTGACTCAAAAATACTTCAATAAAAACTTTATCATAATGTAACTAAATCCAATCTTCTTTGATTTATTATTCTAACATATAATTTTAGAATTAAAAAGTTAATTTTTCGTTTTTTGTTGATAGATGTCGTAAAAGTGTGAATTAAAAGATGAAATTCGAAGGAAAAAATGTTTTTATTCTATTATAAATTATCGAATATATAAACTTTATGTTTCTACAGACTAATTAAGTTATCACTCTTCGTAGACTTCAAACGATGCACGCGCTATTATGGGGGAAAAGAACTTGCTCAGTCTGCTAAAAATCAGTCAAATTAAAAAAAAAATGTACAACTATTTTCTTTTCAAGTTCCCCGTCCCACACAATTAAGAAAAAACAAACGACAAAACCACGGAAATACTTATAAAAATTAATAATTACATAAGATACGACGACATAGGAAACAATCGTTTAAAATATAGAATCTATAAAAAGAACTCCGTGTATAATAGAGACTCACAGAAATATTAAGAAAAATAAACAGAATTAAAACAACAAAAAAAGGAGGACAGAGACGAACATTGCGATTTCAAAAAAATCCTTTCCAAAAAAAATTGCACTGAGCAGACCTACGAAAGCGGTCTAAAAACGATAGCTTTGGTGTAAAGGTCGAAGTATCGGATAAAAGTTGAAAAAATTACGCGACAATACTAAAATTATAAAAACTTACGTCTATGATCTTACATAAAGAAACTTTTTACAATAAAAAAAAAATAATAAACTTTGTGATAATATTAATAACACGTTACGCAACTATATATAAATTATCCTAAACAAATCTTTGTACTCAGAAATGGTTCTTTTTGGGGTGAATTTAAGTTATAAAAAATATTTTCGAACAATATTAGAGTCGCTTAAAAGACAGAGACTTCAACCCTGATTTCGATCGATTGTCTTTGTTAAACGTTTTCGATTTTGACCGGAAAAATCTCAAATCTTTTTCGTGGTTAGGATGAAGCATTGGCAAGTACGAGTTTGGATCACATAAATCTGGATGCTCTTCATAAAAATTCTTGTATCCGCCGTGAAGAAGGTAAATTTCCGGGAAGTGGAGGTAAGGATAAAATTTCATGTTGTGGTTTCTATCGACTTTACGAAGAAATCTTAATCTGAAATAAAAATAAAAATAATTAAATTAAAAATTAAAAAGATAATAATTGAATTAAAACTTACAAATTTGGTCCCCTTTCACTTGAAAATTCACAATGGAAAACAAGAATGTGTCTTCGGTGATCTTCGTGAGCACCAACAGGTGAGTTTTCTTCAATTTTGCTATGTAATAATTCATCCATAATTTGTTCTTTAGTATAAAGGTTAATGGCGCCTGAAATATGTCCACCTTCGTATTCGTAAGGAAATCTACAATCGACGACTTTAAACGAAGCAACGCGGTTTTGAAATTCTCCTTTCATAAGTCCAACGAGCGTCGATGGGTTGATCGATTTTAAATCGGAGTGTTTTCCGCTTACTAAAGGTAAACAAAATTGTTTACTGAAGTCGCCGATTAAATCCGGATCAGAATGAGATCGTTGAAGGGCTGTTTTGATGGTATCTTCATTCGCCGACAAAGAAAAATCGTTGAATTTAACGGACGTTTCTTCAACGGTGGTTTTGTACCTCTTGATGCTTCTTGGACTTGGTGTAGGAGGTTCGGGCCTTTTAAAACAGCGTATATCGTCGGATTTTTTGAACAAACAAGACCGTGCTTTAGGAGAATAAGAAGGCAAAGAAATTGATCTGCGATATTTAGGAAGTGTGTCAGGCGAAATTTCGTTAGCCACCAAACTACCCGAGATTAAATTCGAAAATTCGCCGGGTAATTGGGCGTTTTCGTCCGTGTCATCAAGACCGCAAATATCAAGAAAATCATCCATAGAAGATGTTGAAGAAAATGACCTCTTTGGTGAAATGACACTGCAACTAGCTCCGTATCCAGAATCCCTGGAGTTGCTGTCGACATCCTCCAAGGGGCGACGACGCTTATTTTGGTGCGTACACCTGGAGGAGGTGACGCCCGTGGGGTCGGGGCTCTCGTACAAGGACAAATCGCCGTCCTGCTTCATTGGACTACCCAAGAAACTCTTACAACAGCAGCACTTACCACTAAAAGAAAAAAGAAAAATATCGAAATTGCTCTTCGAGAAATAAAAAATCGGTTTTCATCGTGGATGGCAAAGGGGTCGAATCTCATCATCCAAGAAACCACGTGCTCAAAAATTGCAAAATGGACGGGGTTAATAATATTCAACGTACCTGGTGCAGTGGCAAGGGTCCACGTTCTCCGCGGAATTATCCCAAAGCATTTTGTATTTTTTACACTGAAATCCTTTGAACGAACAAACACATTCACCGGCAACTTTCGCGAGAGCGTATCGATAAGACGTCCGTTCGTAACAACTGCGTACACTGTTATGCTGGTTGTCCTCGGGCGCGAGCCACTTTTATGGCGAAGGCCCCCACCCAAAAAAAGGTGCTCCGCGCAGAGGGATGAGCAACCCCACTGAACCGCACCGACAACTCTTCAACTTTTAGAGAACTATTCGATGCCCCCTCAACGAATTCAACCCAATTTTATTACTTACAATTATTAAAAAAATTCATTTTTTTTTATCAAAAACCACAAAAAATCTTAATCTACTAATTATAACATCAGGAACACCAAAATAGATTAACTCTGCATGTGGTACTTACACGTGTTAAATAACTATATATAAGTAATATAAAATTAACAAAGTTGAGCAAACATCCATAATAGATCAATAAAAGTTCAGAACAGAAAGACCATTCCACACCGATCATAGAAATATTAATAATTATGACACTTCTTAATTGATAAAAACCAGTCTCCAGTAAGTATCTCATTTGAGCTCTTAACGCAATGGGAATAAATTTATGAGTAAGAATATACCCTTTGGAGTTATGGTGAACTATGTGAGATGAGAAAAATCTTCAAGTGCAAGAAATGGCAGCTTATCAAAACGATCCTAAAGTCACAACTTTCATAATGACCTTGATTGCGAAGCGAAATGAGATGAATACAACGAATCTCCCCTACGAGTCTGAAACAGAACGTTGCGGGTGCAAAACCCCTCCCACCAAGCTGAGTATCCATAAATACTGACTCTTTTTTATGGATTTAGATTAATCGATATTGTTAAGCCGAAATGATGTTAATGATGTTAAGAAAAAATGTTGTGAATGATAATTAATATTAATTTAGGTTTTTCGATAAAATTTTTTATTTTATCTCGAAAACTAAAAATGTTGGGAAAAAATGTTGTGGATGAAAATTGTTAATAATAAACCAACAAACAGTATTACCAACACAACGAATTTAAAATCTGAAAAATTACAATTTTGACTTATTTAATAACAACGTATTTATCTTAAAAATTAAAAAGTTATTTTGAAAATAACATTAACAAAAATTATTCATAATTCATCATAAAATCAAAATCCATAAACGATTTATTTCCAACATCTTTGAGATTTTAGTTATAAACGATAAAATCAACAAATCTCGAAATTGAGGTTTTTCGATAAAATTTTTTATTTTATCTCGAAAAGTAAAAATGTTGTAGATGAAGATTGTTAATAATGAACTATCAAACAGTATTACCAACATAGCGAATTTAAAATTTGTAAGATTACAATTTTGACTCATTTAGTGAGAATTAATTAGTTATAAATAAGAATTATATAGATTATATATATTTAGTTAGACAATACGTAATTTAAATGTAAATAAAAGTAATCTTTCGCCCTAATTTAATAAAAGGTCACAAACACAGGTAGCTAGAATCGGAAATCTCTTCCGTTTCCTGATTGCTCCCATGCAATGAACCCCAAAAAATGGGGACCCGTGAGAAACGTCGCAGCCTCCGTTGGTCGTTCCTCTCATGGGAAGAAACGGGACGAAGCCGGGGGTAATTGTTTATGCCAGAAAAAAGAGGGAACCAGGAAGCAAATTCGTTTATAGGTCATGTGTGAAAAAAGATCACAGTCCAGTACATGCAAATCCGGTCGCGAAATTGCTGGACATTATTTTGCAAACGTGTGAAAGGAATACGAAGAAAAGGTAAAGGGTGGATTTGTAATGTTAACGACCAAAAAGTTCAACGAAAAATACCTGAATATGGATGAAATCCTTTTTAAGAAAATCTGCGGTTGTTTGGACTTGGCCAATTGTTTTGTTGCTTTCTTTGGAAGTCGTTAGGTAAACATATATAGTAGTTTTCTACCTGTGAGGAGACGTCAAAGTTATTATTGACTTCCATTTAGTGTATTTTTAACTCAACAAATTAATTGTCTTTATGTATTAAGTATGACGTAAAAGATTTATACGAAGTCAGTTTAACGTCCGTAGAATGTCTACTTGATTCTTGGATAGGAAGTGGAGAATTTCCTTCAGTTAAGACAATTAAACCGTGCAGGAAAAGGTCTTTCGACATGTGTAACAGCGATATTCGTATATATAGAATACTCGTGGGGTGACTCGGTCGAAAGGGCCGCCATCCGACCATAGCGCAACCGCATCTGTCCGCGCACATGACGATGTTTGACCCCTGATGGCCGTTTTTTACCACTTTAATTACAATTAATTGACTTTAATTATTCCTCGCACTCTTTGCTAAACAAAAAAAAAGCAAAAACAATAGTGATATCACGACGGAAACAGTTTTTTTTCTTGATAACACTCGTCCTCTTATGACATTCGTTTTTAACCAGGCTATATTTGTTTAATAAAAACGCTCCGATGGATGTTGATCCAATTATTTGCAAATTGGCCCGATAATAAAAGTGAAAGTTCGCATCATTTTTTTTACAATTAACGAAAATTGCTTCTTTTGTTAAAGTATAATATATTAAGTTGACTTGTCCAACTCGTCGAAGTGCAAAATTTCCCATTAAACTTCTTAGAACTCAAAGATAATAGCCGGATGTTAATAGACAATAAAACCGCACCGAAAAATGCGGAAGATGCAGCGGTCGTTAAAAGACTTGGACAAACGCCAACGCTATATGATGATATAAGAATCTTGCTTCCTTGAATACATATCTTTTAATTTAATTAAATTTCTTATAAATACATTATGCAATCACTATCACATCTCGAGCATTTCCGGAACTTTGCTTATTAAGAAAATGCATCGTAAAATTTCTAACTAAGTTGCATTCGAATGTGAAAAATTTATCTCAAAGGTGATAATAAAAGTAACGTGGCATTTTGCATACAACACTCATATATATGGAAAAACGTCGGTATTTTGTGAACACAACGACGGTCAACAAGCTCATTAACGCGACTCTAATTTGTTTGAAGATCGCTTGCCAGTGCGAAACGCGCTTAGGCAATGTTAAATAAACGAAGTATTATAGACGGTTTCCGAGAAGGAAGAAAACGCGAAAGGGAAGATGTAAGCGGCAGATAGCGATTATTAGACCAACGGCTTTATTTTATAATCTACCCGTGTTTAATTTACCTGATAGTCCACCCAGGAGGTTCGTTATATATTAAGTAACAACGCGGAGGGGTGAATGGCCTAGATTTTATTTTTAAAATTGGTAGAAAAAAAATAAATATTTATAAAAATTATATATATTACGATTAAATGGTATAAATATTTAACCAACGGTCTTAAGGTGAAGAGAACAGGTCGAGATTCAGTTAATCGTATAAAAAAAGGACTCATACCGAAAACAAGACGATAGTGACAGTTATCTAGTTCGTCTTTTTTCTCCCCTAACTAGTCTAGGGGCCGCAATTTAAACAGCTGCAAGGCCGCCGTCGAGGCGCTCTTGCTCGCTCCTCGTCTTGATTTCTTCTAGCAGCTGAAATATACCCCTACTAACACCTATTGTGTACCTTATGCGACACGTATCTAACAAATTTTATATAACATAAGACGTTACCCCTCTCGGCGTCTTCAACGAATTTTGTTTGCGCCAAAAAATTCAAATCACTGTTAACCAAAATATGACGTATTACGTTACTCGCACGTTTTCCTTATGTCGCGTAACATAATCTTTATATGGTCCGATTTATTAAGGTTTCCTCCGGCAAAAATCGACCAAAACAAAAACGGCAACCGTTGGACGAAAGGAAACAACTTAAATAAGGGCGTTTGTTTCGGCTACGTTCGAGGCTTATCTTATAAGTTTCGCTCGGTTTCCTGCGATGAAAAAGCCATCCTGCTACGGCCATTCATACAGCCTCTAGTGAAATATCCTTGGGAGATTGGAAAAGAGAAGAAATAAAATGGGGCAACTCTGACGAGCGGCTGCGCAGGAAATAGTGTGATTGCTGCTGTGGTCACTGAACCATACTTGCGCATCTGTTGATAATATAAATCTTCAACTACTCTCCAACATATTCGCAAAATAAATTACAACATTTTATTTCACCACCTTATTTGTTTTATGACAATTTTTAATCATTAAATCAAATAAACAACTTAAAATTACATACAGTGCCTCGCAAAAGTATTCGGAAATCAGTTTATGGGACAGGAGAGTAACAACAACTTTCTTTAGTTTTCATTTAAAACAAAAACTTAATCAATATTATTTCATAGTGGTATAAACTTTTATTGAAACGTAAAAACTAAACTTTTTCTCAACATAAATACAAAAAAAACAGCAGTTTAACTAAATAATGAGGTTGAATCACGTCACAAAAGTATTCGTAAAAAAAATAAACTAGTTCTGTAAAACTTTTTTTTTAATTAATTAATATCGAGTAGCATATCCTTTCATTTTAATAACGTCTCTTAATCTGTTCTGCATCGCAAACACTAGTTTTCGTGTTCTCTCGGCTGATATTTTTTCCCATTCTTTGACTATTGCTGTTTTAAGTCTATCTTTTGATGTAATTCCATGTTTTCGGATGGCACGCTCCAAATCTGCCCACAAGTGCTCAATCGGATTAAGGTCCGGGGACTGAGGCGGTGTTCCTAAAACACTTGGGGTGTTGTACAAAATCCAAAGTTTTGTATTGTGGGCTGTATGTTTCGGGTCGTTGTCTTGTTGAAAGATGTAACGACCCGAAAGTCCGAGTTTATTGGCGCTAGCGTTCAAATTGTCTTTTAATGTTTGGATGTAGAGCCGGTGATCCATTTTATCAGTAATGAATTGCATGTTTCCGACGCCATTTGCACTCATACAGCCCCACAACATTACATTACCACCCCCGTGTTTAACCGAAGATACTGTATTTTTATGGTGCATTTCGGTATTCACTTTTCGCCAAACTTTATTACCACAATCTGGCCCAAAAATGTTAAATTTGGTTTCATCGCTAAAGATTACTTTTGACCAAAACTCGGTGCCATAGTTTACGTATTTTCTTGCAAACTCCAAACGCTTCCTCCGATTTTTCTCACTTATAAGCGGCTTTATACGTGGAGTACGTCCATTGTAACCAGCAGCTCTAAG